GTTGAGTGGTCTTCTTTCAGCGGAAGTATGGACAGAAACATTTGTATTTTTTTTTTTTTAATTTGAAGCAAGAGTGGAGCTTGAATTTCTCCTCTCTCTCTCAAAGATGAAAACTATAAATGGCCGGCTTGGTGGTCTTCCAGAGCTAGCATGATTGTGAGGAGTCTAATTTTCTTTGAATATGCTTTTGAAGTTCAGTTTTGGAAACTCCTGTTTTTTCACTTTTTTTCTTTTGATATTTCCCTTCCTTATTCTTTGACTTTCCCCTTCTTTGTCTAATTGAGTTATATTTATTATTCTCAGAAATCCATTTATGTGGATGATTCTACATGACTATGAAGCACAGCTTAGAAAAGTTATAACGCATAAAATTGTATAATATTTCATTAAAAGACAGAAACATTCTTAATGCTACAAACTGATTTTCAGACTTTGGGACACATTTACTTCAAAACAATAGGATCTAACTGCTCACCATGTGGTCATGAGGGACAGTGATACAGTCTTACTTCCTAATCTAAAATGCAGGGGTGTGGCTCAAATAAGGCTCCACATATGGACTAAAACTCTTTGTGTTTCGGTAGTGACGTGAAAACATGAAACATTTTTTTTGTTAGTTTTGTGCTTCACTTTAGAAGAAAGCAAAAAGATCTTATTTTAAAAAAATAGCTTTTTGTTATTGTTTTCACAAGTTGAAATTTATGGGTTAGCGTTTGGAACAGCCACCTCCCAACAGAAAATACCTTAGAAATGGTTGATTTTGTATATTCAACTTATTACTGTCTCAGTTCATGCCTTGGGTTTACTTAGATCATAACATAATCCTTTTAAATAGATAAGATCTGAATGTTTGTGTTTTTTAAATATTTTTATTAGTTATATAGAATGATCCATAGAGCACCATAAGGGTACAACTTTTGTACTGTTTTGTAGTGTATTGTATTGTCACAGACACATTTTGATAATATATAGAACTCTTTAGCCCTTTTTGCTTAGAGTGGGACTTTCACAGTATATGAAGGGTCTTTACATTTTAAGATGATTCTTCATACTCACACATCTCATTTACAAAAATGGTTCTCCAAAGAACCATCCATGAAAATGTTCATCTGGGAGCCTGACAGCATCTCTCGTAAGAACTCTTTTTGATATTGTTAAGAGTGAAGTGTGAACTTCACTTTTAAGACTGACGTATGAACCAGTTAGCCCAGTCTCATTTGCGTAAAACTAATTGACCTCTTCTAGCTTTCATTAATTGCTAGCATTTTTTGTAACTGAACAGTCATGTGATTGGGCTAAGGGCCCATTTTATGTTATTAAAATTGGAAGAAGACCCTAACCCATTCATACCTTACCAGTTACACTTGTTTCTGTGGTACACATTTGCTGATGCTATTGCTAAGTGGGTGCTGTATTAATGTATGTGTTCTGGCCGTATCCCAAGGTCAGTAATTTAACCACCCACATCTCCCTCGTCCCCCCACCTCTTCTCATCCAGTTGCATTTGTACTTCCTGTTGCTATGCCCAATCTCCATGGTAACTCTGCAAGGATTTCTGGTTTTCTGCCCAGCCCTGTTGAATTTTCTTCAGAGAAGTCAATACAGACAGTACATTCTCCGATTTGCTTCTCAGTCACTTTGACTCAAAAGCAGGCGCTCTTTTACTTTTGTCAGGTGGATAACATAACTGGATCTGAAGTGGCAGCAAAGCATGGTGCTGCATATTTGCATTACTGTGCAAATGTCTTAGGCAACCATGAAAACTGTTTAAACTACTGTTTATCTGTCTTGGCAGTAAGTTTGGTTCCTAACGTCTCACTGTACTCTAGCCGTCTGATTTACACTCACTGTACAGCCAGCACACCTGTTTTAATTTAGTGACTGATTGATTAGCTGAATACTAGTTTTCTTTGAGGAGAGATGTGGAAATGGTTAAGCTAAAACAATGGCAGACATAAAATCAAAATATATTGTTTATTTGTATATATTCTAATGAATTGTTTGAAGAAATTACTTACTGTCCAGATAAGTTTACATATGATTTTCTAAGTAGACTTTTGCACAGTACTGCATATGTGTGCTTATATGAATATAACTGTGCATCTAATCCTTTTAAATATACAAGGTCTGAATATGTGATTTGTTTTTCAAATATTTTTTATTGTGGGATGGTAGTTCAGTAGAATGGTCTATATAGCACTAAAAAGGGTACAACTTTTGTACTGTTATGTAGAGTATTGTACCGTAAGTTGCAGACCTGTTTTAATACTATATAAAGCTATTTAGCCCTTTTTGCTTAGAGTGAGACCTTTAAAATATATGAAGTGTCTTTACATTTTAAGGAGGTTATTCATACTCACAACTCTCATTTTTTGAATGAAGTTTTTAAAAATTAAACTCATGATAAATCGATCTTTCTGCTTCATTTAAAAAGAAATCAAAAAGCCCTTACAAAAAAAAATTGAAAAACATAAATACAAAGTTATATATGGGGTGTCCCAAAAATTGACATCATTTCGTAGTCTAATAACATAGCCAATTCTCCCTCAAATTTTAACAAAATGTGTAAAAACTAACTGTAGCATGGCATGTGCTACTCCGGGCTCAAGGAGGACGCTGGAGGCAGGATTCAGTGTTGCAGCAGCCATATTTCTTTAATCACACCAAATAAATACAAACTCAACCAAACCAAAGCTCTGCTAAGCCGGCCACTTTTCAGTGGCTTTCAACTAACTAGACTTTTCAGTCTTTTTACTCAAGCTTTTCAGCTCTTCAGTTCCCGGCTGCTGCTCGTCCCTCTCTCTCTCTTACGCTGTTCCCTCTCAGCTCTTTAAAAAGGCGCTCACCTGAGCCGAGAGGGAACGAGAGCTCGCTGCTCCGCCTCCCCGTCACCGCCCCCAGTTTGCAGCGCGGCCACCCGGGTCAAACATAAGGTATCCTGAAGCGGCCTCGCTGCGGCACAGGGGGCGGGGCCCGGGCGGCGGAGCTCGGGACTCGCTCCTCGCCTTGGTGCCTCTCATGGCTGGCACCATCGTCCTCCTCCTCACGACGTCACTCGCGTGACCCGCGTTCGTCGAGAAGGGGAGTGCTGCAGACCGGAGCCCTAAAGGGGAGGTAACTGGGGGCGGGAGTCTGTCAATCATTTTTTGCATCAACCAATTAAATAACTGCTCTTGGCCGTCAATCACATTTTGCATTAGCCAACCGCAAATTAGAACGAGCTGTCCGTCATTTTTTGCATTAGCCAGTCTAAGGGTCTGTCTGCAGACATGCACCGCCAGCCTGTTAACAACGTCAGCCCACCAGCGCCTCTCTGACACAACAGAGTTTTTGTTGGTTTTATGAGGAAAAATAGCGAATCACGAACTGATGGACAACAAGAGTTACACTGAATGTATATTAACATTCTCATAGTGATAATAAGGTAATTAAATATGGAAACTTTCAAAAGAAAACCACGACGATAAAACAATGTCGGGTTCATTCGCAGAAAAACAAACAGGCTGCTGAAATCCATGAAAGCCATGCTGAAGACGATTAGAACCGTTAGGAATAAAACCTGAGGGTTTTCCTTCCTAACGGGAATTGGCTTGATGGTTGCCGTTAGAGAACTTTAGGAAACAGACAACTGTAACTTATATGGAATCAGTCCCAGAACACCTAATTAAATGATTTGAATCCTTTACACTGTGATATCAACCCAGAACACCATTAGACTACTGAAAACCACCAGGAACCGACAGACACTTTGTTCTATGCCTTTTTTTAACAGGGAGGTACATTAAATGTAATCCTCCAGCTGTGTAATGGGCGAAAATGGATTAAGTGATGATGTCGCTAAGCAGAAGCAGCCAAACGGTAACGTGTAATCTAGATGTTGTGAGAAGGAGAATACTGCAGACCGGAGACCTAAAATTATCATAAGCACAAAACACTGAAGGCAAACAGTTCCATTAGGAACCAAGTGGCTATGAAATCACTTTTTGTGAACAAGCAAAGTCTAGGTGGAAACGGTGTTTGTATAAACTCATAAAAAGACACATGCCAGTCATAACTGCACATATTTCTATATTGTGTTCATGTATTTACCCACAAAGTCAGGAGGAACATGTTCTGTCAGTTCACTGATGCTTTGTGTGTGATGGTCAGTCAGTGTTTGCATGAACTCCGTTCTGCTTTACCTGCCAAAGAGACCTAAGCATATAAGCATGTACACATAAGCCAAAAGGAACGACAGATTTCACGCAATGTAGTGGAGTAAAAAATAAGATATGTGACTTTTAAATGTAGTGGAGTGAAAGAAAAAGTGAAAAAATAGTTATAATAATGTCTTGGTCTGAAATAAGAAATTAGGTGATATTAAAGGCAACTTCAAAGCTTTAAACTATCTTCCCTCTTTTGTTCGTCGGCGTAGCTCGGTCTTTGCGCTCCGCCCCCTCTCACGGCTCTCTCCCTGCTGTCCTCGCCAAGGTTCGTTGCCGCTGTGAGTTCGGGCCCCGCCTTCCTGCCGGCTCTCGCGGCCGTCATCGTCGGGGCCCAGGGGGCGGGCGCATGCCACACTAACCAAGTTTAATTTTTAATATTTTTTTTCAGGTTGAAGAATGGCGTTCACTAGAAATGAAAAGGCATTTTGTGTGTTAGAATATGCTCAAACACAGTCAAACAAAAGTGTGCAGTGTGCGTTTTCGAGAAAATTCAATAAAAAAGCACCGACTGGAAAGCAGATTTGGACATGGCACAAAAAATTCAAAGAGGAAGGCTGTCTGGCATATTTATATATATATAAATTGTATCGTATTAATATTTGGATTTAAAGACTAGTTGGGTTAGAAATTGGTAGTATTGGTATATTGTGTTTATATGATTTGTGTTGTTATGACTGATATTCTTATTTTAGAATCCAAAGCACTGCTGTCAGTTGTATTAAGTTCTACTTATTACCATACATACTCAGAAGTAACTAAACTTCATATTTTGTTTGAAATACTTTGTGTGTGCAGGATACAGCAGGACAGGAGCGTTACAGGACCATTACGACTGCCTACTACCGCGGTGCCATGGGTTTCATCCTCATGTATGACATCACCAACGAGGAGTCGTTTGGAGCCGTTCAGGATTGGTGAGTGGGTGTCAGATCAAGTCTTAGAACAGCGTAGGAGAAGATGGTACAAATTCCCCAAACACCACATCTCCCACCAACGTCCACGCTCTCGTGCCCGCCAACTAATCAATGGGAATCCGTGTTTTTTTTTTTAACAGTAGGGGATATTTTTCTGTAACAGACTGTGCGTGTGTGTATGTTAGTGTCATTGCTGGGAAAAAGCGCTGTTTTTATTGGAGGTAAATGAGTCATCGTCCACTGAGAGCAAACCTTTTTTTTAGTACAAATGTCAGGAGTGACACAGCGCTAAGAAAGACCAAAATGAGTATTACTTCTATTACAGCAGGGAAAACAAAACTTTTAAAAGCGGTGAAAGCTGTAAATTAGCTCTGAATCTGTGTAGGTAAGGGACAGTTTAATTAATTAATGTTGTAACAGATCCATAAAGATAAGAAATTAGCGCTCACACAAGATTGAACATTCAGTTAAGATCAGCAGAGTGGAAGCTGAGTGAATGTGTGTGCCTGTCTTTTGTGATGGGACACCTTTTATTGCTGACGGATATGACATTTAACCAAATTGAAGGGAAAAAGACAGGAGGTAAAGGGTTTTGAAGGGCAGCTGGGCTGTTAATATTTAATGGAATTGATTCTTGAATTTCCCTAAGGATCAGGAACTGCGAACCAGGCAGCAAGAAAGTAGGTTCTGCACCCAGTTGGACCAGGTCAGTCCCAGTCAGACACCTCATTCTGTACTGAGGCGGACGAAAGTTTATTGATCCACCCGGTGGGGAGTTTAGCTGAGCTTGGGGTGCAGAAGTTGATTTAATTAGGCAGCAGAGAGGCTAATGAGAGGTCTGACAATACACTGAGGAAGTGGACAGAGACAGAGAGGGAGGCAGAATAGCTGACCCAGACTGGGGCAAGGTGACCTAGCGCAGCAGCAGGGCTCTGGGGAATTAATAAAACATAAAGTTCTAATATAATAATAAGTTGTAGGTATTTGCTCTGTATGAATGCTAATGTGTTACACTGGCCTTTCTTATAGAAAGGGCAAAGAAAGTTAGCTATGGCTGACAGAGTAAGAAGGCAAAACAAAGGAATCGGTGACCTGTGTATATGCAGAAAGGCAGAATTTAGCTTAAAGCATGCGCTTCGAGTTTGAGGACATGTACAGTTCACTGGCTGCTTTTGGCCAAATGGTGGTCACCCACCTCACTGAAACAGTCAAGTACATGCTGAAAGAGTGCCTGTGAAAAGTAGGGCCCGAATGATATATCAGTAGGCAAATAATATTGGCCTATATTAAGGTTCCACCAGTCCCTAACTCGTATTGATGAAAGTCCTGCCAGTGAAGCGGCAGTGGCTTCAGTGTTAAAAAAAACACACTTTAATTTGAGGAAAACCATTCGCTAAGGATTTAATGGGTTGTGGCATCGGCCTGAGGAGGGGCCGAGCCATACTGGCTGGGGAGCTAAGGAGGGCCTAATGAAAACATGCACATGGAGGCCAAATACGGGTGCAAAGCAGAGCTTTTTTTGGGGGAAAAAAAAACAAAACTGAAAATAGAGCCTATAGGGGCTCCTTTGCAGACTATTGCTCTCCAGTCAAAGTTCTCTCTCCAAAGTTCTCGCTCCCACTAACTCAAAGAGGCTCAGATTTAAAGTGTCCTAGCTCCTTCCCAGACCAGTCCCAGCTGTCTATAATCAGAGGAGGAGCCTTACGGCTGGCCAGAACAGCATTTTACAGGTTTTGAAAAGTAAATATTATTGTTTTTAAGGGTGGCCTTCTAGAGGAGTACCCCAATACTCGTTCTGAAGGCCACCCTTCTTATTTTAAGTATTGTCATTTATTTTTAGATCGTTAGATATTTTGTTTTTTAAGATAAAATGTGCCAGTTTTTGATTTGTAACAATTTTACCAAGGACTTTGGGTTGAATATTTAAGAGGCTAAACAGAACTAGGGGGCAGGTTTGATAGTGACAACATCTACAAAGTTGTAGATGTTCGGCTTTTTTTTATTGTCATCGTCCAAACCTCTGGAAGCAATATCATCACAAGATCTGTTTGTCACATGTATCATAAAGAGGGTTTCCATGGTCAAGCCAGCTACACACAAGCCTAAGATCACTATGCGCAATGCAAAGCGTCGGCTAGAGTAAAGCACACTGCAGCTGGATTCTGGATCATGGTGACTGGACCAACAAAAATGCTAAAGAAATACTTGGAAAAAAAGCTTTTTACATTAACTTACATTGAAAGTAAAGAAGGTTTTTGCCTTCTTCTGTAAAGGCATTTTACTTTTGGACAAAGATGACATATAAATTACTAAAAACATCCATTTTTGCCCTAGTATTCAGAACTATATAACAGCTCATGATTGTGTGTGAACACTACGTGACAGAAGTGAAGTAAGGTTAAAGAGCATAATTAATGAAAAAGAGTGTATTTTTTAAGTTGCACTATTAGCTGTTCCAGCTGTTAGCTATTATAGCTATTCTCACCCCATGTCTGTTAGCCTCTGCCTTTTGCATCTCCACAACATAAATGCTGATGTAACATCACCCTTGTCCCCTGGTTTAATACTTGGAAACGTATCTTGTTAGCCGTTAGCAAGTAGACCAGTGGAGCAATGTTATATACATAAGCTAAGGTAATAATGTTAACCAATTTAGCCATCTCGTTAAGGTTATGACTGCTGCAGGCCACTGGAGTTCCTCCACACAAAACTTGTCAAAGCATGTCTTTATGGACCTTGTTTTGTGCACAGCGGCACAGTCATGCTGGAACAGGAAAAGGTCTTCCCCAAGCTGTTGCCACAAAGTTGCAAGCATATAATTGTCTAAAATGTAGCATTAACATTACTCTTCACTGGAACTAAGGGAGCCCAAACCCTGAAAAACTGCCCTAGACCGTTATCCCTCCTCCACCAAACTTTACAACACTTAACACCTCTCCAGCCAAAAACACTTGGCATTGTGCGTAGTATAACACATCTAACAAGAAAGGAACCCTCTTGTGTATTTTATATAGTGAAAGAAAACATGGTAGTTCTGGGTCTGTGTGCTAAAATTAATAAAATTATTTTACTGTTGCCAGTGGGGGCGTGTATGCAATAAATACAATATTAATATACAATATTAAATAATATCAGCCAATATTACCAGACATTTTTTGTCCCTTAAAATTGGTATCGGGATCATATCAGTCAAACCCTGAACAAAAACCTGTGTCAGTCTGACCTGCTGTATGTGAGTAAAGGCTGGGTTTACTGTATGCTTTGTGGTGAAGGGGCTGGGCTCCCATCACACCCACACCAGCTGTCTGCTCTCTGCCAGCTCCGCTGTTGCTATGGCACCGATTATTGGAGCGAACAGCCTTTTTAAAGCAAGAGTCGAGGAAGCTGTGTGCATTATATTCTGTCGGTGCATGTGTATTGAGCCCAATAACAGCATAAGGTCCTTAGATTGTGTCTCCTGCACAAATCTTACAGTGTTTGGCATCATTATTTAGGTTCTGATGCATAATGTAGTGAGAGTAGAATTTCACACGCAGACACTGTTGTTTTCGAATCCAGGTCGACCCAGATAAAGACGTACTCCTGGGACAATGCGCAAGTCATCCTGGCCGGCAATAAGTGCGATATGGAGGAGGAGAGGGTTGTGTCTGTGGAGAGTGGCAGGCTGCTGGCTGAACAGCTGGGTAAGTCCATTCCCTCTGCTGCAGCTGTGCTTCTTTCTCCAGGGCACCAATCAGCTGCGTCCATCTGACACAGGGAACTAGTCGTCAGGGCCGCTCTGGGCCAATCAGCTGTAACTCCCTGACCTAGAGTACCTGACGTACTCTATTCCCAGTGCACTGGAGTTTAATGAATCGGAAGCAATATACAGTTGTAGCAATGCATTTCCTGATTTGGCATGTAAGTGTACAAGATTTCTTCCGTGGACAAGAAGATGATGAAACATATAATTGGAGTGTATCAGCCCCTAAAGTGTACACCATAGAAAATCAAGTTAGACAGTAAAAATGCCTTTGGTTAATGTAGCATACCTTCACTGTGAATAAATTAGAGCATATGGAGTGTGCTGTTTGAGCTCACAGCTCATGCGATAATTAAACACATCTAATTAGATGACACTAACCACTTGCAAACCACACCTCTCATAGCCTAGGCCATTGGTGTGGGGAAAACAACAAAAAAAAACTTTCTTTAGAAAGGGAACTCACAGTCTAATCTAAATATATGGTAAAACTGTCCAATATGTCATTTGTTAATCATTAATATGATGTGTACATTTGTAGTAGTAGAGTTTTTATGTTGTGTGCTATGAGCACTCTGACCAATCTCAGATGTTTCAGATGTGTTTCAGTGAGTTTTTGATGAATCAAGGCATTCACATAATGCAGAAAACATAAATAACTTTGATAAAAAATGGTGAGAGCCAATCTTTAATCGTGTCATCAGACGTTGACTGATGGGTCTTTAATATACTGCAAGGCAATTGTAATATTTAGCCATGTAATTGCAATATGGTCTTCTGCATATATCCTGCATCCCTAGTATTGATGTAATACAGTTGTTTTATCGAGTTAACCAGATAATTGAACGACTGCCTTGATGGCCCCATTTTATAAATTTTTTCGTATCTTGTTTTTTGTTCCCGAAGTCCACTTATGGCACCAAAATTCATTCAGTTTTACAATTTCTAGTGTCTTGTTTAACATCTCGTTTTGTGTTTTTTGCTGATATATGTGCAACAGATTGAGACTGAAATTCATCTGTTTCGGTCACGTAATCTTTTTTATTACAGTGGCTGTATTAATGACCGTCTCCTGCTGTGTCTCAACAGCGAGTGACGGTACATAATTAAAAGATAGCAAATCTCAGTTCTACAGAAAACAGCAATGTGTTCAAAACAGAAAAAGAATGGGTTTGATTATTTTTATATGTGTGTGTGTATGTGTATGTATATATATATATATATACTATTCCAAAATAGTTGGGATGCTGTGTAAAATGTAAATAAAAGCAGAATGCAATGATTTGCAAATCTCATAGACCCATATTTTATTCACAATAGAACATAGAACACATATCGGATGTTGAAAGTGAGACATTTTTCCATTTCATGTAAAACATGGTGTGGGCAGCTTACACATCTGGAAAGGCACTTGAATACTTGAATACTATGCTGAACCGTATATGGAGGTTTTAAAACAACATATTCTCCCATCCAGACAACGTCTCTTTCAGGGAAGGCCTTGCATATTTCAGCAAGACAATTCTAAACCACATACTGCATCCATCACAACAGCATGGCTTCGGAGAAAAAGAGTCTGCGTGCTGTACTGACCTGCCAGAGGTCCAGACCTTTCACCAATAGAAAACATTTGGCGCATCATGAAATGAAAAATCCACCAAAAAAGACCCAGGACTGTTGAGCAGCTAGAATCCTACATCAGACAAGAATGGGACAACATTCCTCTCCCAAAACTACAGCAACTGGTCTCCTCACTTCCCAGATGTTTACAGACTGTTGTTAAAAGAAGAGTTGATGCTACACAGTGGTAGACACGGCCCTGTCCCAACTTTTTTGAGATGCGTTGCTGCCATCAAGTTCTGAATGAGTTAATATTTTTTATGAAATGGTAAAATGTCTCACTTTAAACATCTGATATGTGTTTTATGTTCTATTGTGAATAAAATATGGGTCATTGTGTTCTGTTTTTATTTACATTTATTTACATTTTACACAGCATCCCAAAATCTTTTGGAATTTAATGGATTGTACATATGGATTGTATAATGGATTGGATTGTGTGTGTGTGTATATATATATATATATATATATATATATATATATATATATATATATATATATATATATATATATATATATACTCTCACACACACACACACACACACACACACACACACTACATCGCCAAAAGTATGTGGACCCCTGCCCATCACACTTATATGACCTTGTTGGACATCCCATTCCAAGACCATAGGTATCAGCACTCCATTTGAGTCTATAACAAGGCAAGGCTTTCCACAAGATTTTTGAGTGTGTCCCTGGAAATTTGTGTCCATTCAGTCCGAAGAACATTTGGTCAGTCAGGCACAGATGTTGGACAGCAAGTCCTGCCTCTCAATTGACATTCCAGTTCATTCTGAAGGTGTTCTATGGTTAAAGTCAGGACTTTGTGCAGGCCACTTGCGTTTCTACACACCAAACTATTTATGGACCTCCTTTTGTGCAGAGGAAAGGGCCTTCCCTAAACTGTTGACACAAAGTTGGAAGCATGTATTTGTCTAAAATGAGTTTGTATGCTGTAGTAGTAACATTAAACTTCTCAGGAACTAAGGGGCCTTGCCTAAACCCTGAAAAACATCCCTCCTCCACCAAACTTTACTGCTGGCACTATGCATTCCAGGTGGTAGTGTTTTCCTGGCATTCACCAAACCCAGATTTGTCCATCAGACTGCCAGACAGTGAAGTGTGGTTTATCATGCTGCTCCAGAGTTCAGTGGCGGCGTGCTTTACACCACTAAAGCCAACGCTTTGCACTGCGTCTGGTGATCTTAGGCTGGTGTGCAGCTGCTCGGCCAAAGAAACAAATTTTATGAAGCATCTGACAAACAGTTATTGTGCGGATGTGGCTTCCAGAGTAGTTTAGAACAATGCAACAGAGATTTTTACACACTGTGGGCTTTAGCACTCGGCAGGCCCACTCTGTCAGTTTTTGTGGTCTACCACTTTGTGGCTGAGCTGTTGTTGCTTCTAATTGTTTCCTTTTCACAATAATACCACTTACAGTAAACCAGGGCAGATCTAGCAGGACAGAAATTTCACCAACTGACTTGTGGCAATGATGGCATCCTATGACAGCACCACATTTAAAGTCCCTGAGCTCTTCAGCACGACACATTCTGCTGCCAGTATTTGTCTATAAAGATTGCACGTCTATGTGCTTGATTTTTATATACTTATACTATGCTACTACGGAGAAGGCAAGCTAGTGGAAAATGTAAAAGGCTATATGTGAACAGGAGACAGAATATCTAAAAATAATATCTTAATATTATACAGTCATATGCTAAACTTTTGGTATCCTTGTTTAAATTACATGTTTTATTGAAAATAATTTAACACATCCTTTACAGAGAACATACTTAATGCACAATTACTGTTAATTGGATTTAACATATTGGGCAAAGAAATAAACCATCAAATTTTGCTTGTGCAAAAGGTATGGCCCATTTTATATGTTATGTTGAATTTTTGTCCAGTATGTTAAACTCAGAAAGTAAATGGAATTTATGCACAAGAATTTTCATAAAAAATGCCATATTAATGTTTGTTCTCTGTTGAGGCTGTGTTAACCTCATTTAGAAAATCAGCAAATTGTAATTTGTAATGTGGTCCAACGTTTAGTTTCGGTTTTCTGTTGGCCATTGACACATCAAACTGTACATCAACTGTACCTTTTTTGTTTTTGTGTCTTCAAGGTTTCGAGTTCTTTGAGACCAGTGCAAAGGACAACATCAACGTGAAGCAAACCTTCGAGCGTCTGGTCGATATTATCTGTGACAAGATGTCTGAGAGTTTAGAGACTGATCCTGCTGTTACCACGGGAACCCAGGGCAACGCCAGACTAACGGACAACCCGCCGCCCATACAGCAACCCAACTGCGCCTGTTAGTGTTCTGCCTAGTGCGTCCTAGTCCAGCGCGTGCGTGTCTGTTTGTGGAATACTCAGCTCCTTAAGTTGAGGCATTTAACCTTTAACCTTGTGGGTGACCGGTGCCGGAAGAAGCCTGTTCTTATTAGCCATGGAAGGCATGTCCTGAGTCATGTGATCCTCTTAAGCTCCGCCCCTGCCCAAATATTGTCTTGCGTTGGAATCTGACTGCTTTTCTTTTTTGTTTGAGAAAAGATAAAACGGCTTCGAAAAAGCCAAAAAGCTTTTATTTTGTGAGCTCTGTACATATGAAAAAATGATAGCTCTAGATGGCCAGGGTTAGGCTCTTCTTACAGCATATGATCTGCTCCGGCACCTCTGTACCACACCCATATCTGACTCTCTGATGTGCAGTGCCTGGTTCTTTTTATTTTCACATTCATTTTCTTTTTCTTCTCTTTAGAGTGGATCAAAGTCACTGTGGTCTTGCGCTGTAACACGACTGGTTCAAATTTCTCCAACATGCATGTATCAGATATTTAGAGTTAATTTGAGCTTATGGTCAGTTTGCTGGTCTTAGGCCTGTTCAAGAAAAGACGTAGATGTAGCTCTTTCAAAGCAGGAGCAATTCATTTCCTCTTAAATGTGGATTTATGGATTTTTTTTCTGGTTCCAGCTGCTTATTTTGTTAGCTTTTCAACACACTGATCTGTGTGGGGGTTGGTGGTGTGCGCACATCTCAAGTCATTTAGAAATATCTGAAATATATAATTGTATATACCTCAGTAGTTTGGATTCGGAGATATTGAGTGAGCCATACAGGGACACACACTATATTAACAAATGTTTCTATTATTAGTAGTTTTTCAGAGAAATCATCAAAGACTTTTTACGTGATTTAACTTATTTATTTATCTATGTATTTAATGTAAACCTGCTCAGAAGGTTCAGAGTCGGAAGAAAAGCTTCAAATGTCAGGCTTGTTTGATATTTGATATATAAAATGAGTGCATGTTAGTGGCCGCAGTGTTCCCTGTCCTTTCTCTTTGTGTTTATCACTGTGGCTTCTTTATCTCTGCTGGCAAAAAAGGTACTTTGTGGTAAAAGCAGAGCGTTTTAGCATCTCCCGCCTCAATTGGTACCTCAGTCTAGCCTAATAGAGGCTTTTATGATGTTTAGATGTTCCCTGTTTTCTTACTGAAAGTGAAGCACGAGTGAGCTGTCTGGGGCAAGAGAACGCCGCAATACTCAAGGAAAGGTCCCAGACAGCTATTTCTGCAGCGTGAGTCAGTCCATCAATATTTCAACGGGAAAACCTGATATGACTTCTTGGATTATAAATAACAAGCTTGTTTATGCTTCCTATTGTGAATCACCACTGCTAGGCACCTGTCTGCAAGCAGAGCTCTCTGTCCCCATTCGGTTAACTGTTTTCTGTGATTGCCAGCCATGATACTGCAATTGTCATCCATGCTCCCCCTGTAAATGCGCTCTTTTGTGGCCACTGTTGAGAGGTTGGACAAGCTTTACGGAATGTTGGGGAAAAAATCTTTTGTAGCAAACAACTCAGTTTTTGTGCAAATACCTGAATTTAAAAGGCAAAAGATATGTATTTTGTATGATGTGGCAGGTGACCCAGGTGAGCAGATGTAGTATTTCTTGTCGTGTAATCAAGCTAATGTTAGCATTGTGGCAAATTTGTTCTTGTTTCCAACCTGCATAGTTTTAGTGAGCTACAAGAGCATTGCGGTAGCGTAACATCTTAAACTGGAAACTCAGTAGCTTCGTTTCCATTGACGTTCTCTGCAAATTACAAGTGATAAAGTTTTTGAAGCATGAAATCATTTTTTGTAGAAGATGTAAGCGTCACTGTTTTCAGTGGCAAACCGCAACTATTAGAGCCAGAACTTCACTTAAAGCCATAAATGTCAAAAACAAGGAACAAACCCACCCCATCAACAATGCTAATGTCTTCTTGTGCCCTTATATGATTTTAGTAGTATGTTAGCACTAAGCTAACAGTGAATTACAGTAATGTTTTTGGTTGTTCTAGATTCTAAATCAAAAACATGATTTACTGCAGTACTACCAAAAAACATGACTGCACTTTGTTATAGAGTCTCTAAACAAACCTTGTAGTTGTCCTTTTGAAAAAGTATGTTTTAATTTTTTTTGAAGTCGTATGCTGGTCCTTCTAGGATTCTTTAGTAAAGAAAAAAAGCTTGTAACAGTAGAAAAACCCTTTTTGGTGCCAGGTGGAACCATATGCAACACATTCTCCATCAATCTGAAGAACCCTTTCATGATGCAAAGAACCCATTAATCATGCAAAGGGTTCCTTGAGTGTTCATGGTTCTGTACAGAACCAATTTCTTTACTAAAGAACCCTCGAAGAGCCATCTTTTTTAAGTGTGTACAATTTTTCTTTCGATCAAAACATTCTGTAAAGCTTGTCCAACCAGTTGCTAAGAAAGAACACACACATTCGTCCGGAGCACCGATAGACTGATTCCCTGCATAGAATTTAATTCTAATAATAAAATGTAGCCCTTAAAAGAAAAATGTGTTGAATGTGGTTTTGATCACATGTTCTGTGGTATTGTGAGTGTATTATGTGAAAAGAGCTCTAAAATAGTAGGTAGTTATTTTGACATAAGCAAAAATAAATGCAGTCATATTTATTGTGTCAGAGGTGAATAGGCCAGTGTGTGTAATGCCAAATGATCCTTACGCATCACTGATGTGTAATCAGTGTAGAAAACGGGTGAAAAATGAAAGTTTTCTGCAGCTACTACATTTAGCATTACACTTGCATGAAATTGTGAGACATCTATATTTAGAAAACTGTATCTATATAGTCATTTTATTTCTGCATCCTACAGTATGTGGGCTGCAATGGGCCAATAAGTGCAATATTTTGAAACCCTGTCTTGTATATACTGTAGATGTATATTAAGGCTGTATGAACTGTATGTGTGTGGGTGTGTGAGAGAAACAGATCGTGCTGTAAGTGAATGAGAGGTTGGTGTAAGTCAGTAGCAAGTTTACTACTGAGTGTGTATTAGTAGACATTTATCCTGTAAATGGGCAATGCTGTTTTTTGCACATTCCACCCAATGTTTAAAAATCCTCCTGTTGTGTTGATGATGATGTGTTAATTCTTTGTGCTACAAATAAGACTTTAGTACTGTGTGGCAAGTATGTACAGTACTGTGTAAAAGTCAGAGACCAGCCTTCATTCATTTCAGTTGAAACAGCCAGTGTCATTTTTGACTCCCTTCAGTGCTCCTTCAAAAGCCCCACCCCCCAAATTTATGGACACGCACTGCCAAGGCACACAACACTGGACTAGCAAAAGTTTTTTTAGATCTTTGTAGCCATAAAACCCTTCACAAATGTTGTACGGACAAATACCATGACATAACATTAGAGCGAACAACCACATAGCAAATAATGCAACTTTTGCTAGGATGTGGGTTAGCAGACAGTCACTACAGTTGCTGCTGTGAAGCTAACCAGTTGGGATTAGCTATCACAAACATTAGCGAATAAAATAGCACTGACCTATTGGTTCTGTGAAACAGCAAAAATATCTTAACATTGCCCACCTGTCAAGCAGAAACAGAATGACCTCCCCATCCCTTTTCATCCCTTTCAGCTCTCAGTGACGCTGAAGTCAGCTTCTTTTCGCCAGCTTCTAGTTAGAATTTTCCCATTCCACCTTAAATGATGCAGCAGTTATGCTACAGCACCTGAGGCTAAAACACCCTTTCCTGAACTAAGAACTTCTTTCTCACTCTTTGTTCTTCAGATCTTCTCCTTTTTGGCTGTTTCTTGACCATCTCTCCTTCTTGACAACACACGTAACGCACCAGATATACAGTTTTACTTTGTCAAGTAGATTATTTCATATCCAATCTTCTCAGAAACATCTACTGAAAATTAGTACATTGTACTTAATGGCTGTTTCAACAGGAAATTAAATAGAATAGGATGGTCTCTGACTTTCCACAGTGCTGTATGTGTGACTGTCTTTGTGTGTGTTTGAACGAGATTAAAAACAAGCTTTTTGCCTGTAAATTCTCTCCAGGTTTGGTATGTGTGTGTGAGTATGAATCTGTTAGAGAGCTGGTGCATGGAAAGTGTATCACTGTACTGAGATTACTCCGTTATAAGACCTTAGACTACTGATTATGGACCTTCCATGACATTCATACATTAGCCACATGAGCCCTCCACTAGAATGATCAAACCTCAGTAGTTATAACGAAACTTCAGCTTCATTAATGCCCACATTGTTGTATTTAGGGAAATTAGAAATTAGACTTTTTTGTACTAATAGCCATGCAGTCACAGTCTGTTTTAATGTAACCTACAATGCCATCACTTTGGTAAGCAAATCATAAAATAATAGGATAATAGTAGGAAATTCATTTTTCTCTATGAAACAACCCAGAAGTAGATTCTATACATGAATATCGTCAGTTGAATTCTGTTGTATGGTACACGTTGATCCCACCCCTAAACTATAGGTATAATCCACATGATAGAGTTGATACGTCATTGCACAGCGGCTCATTATATTTTGTTGTACTGTATGTAGGAGTTACCGTCGAACTGGTTGTTTTGTTTGTATGTGACGAATGTATGACAAAGGTGTTATAATTGCTATTGAAAATACCAATAAACATACCAACTGTATTGATACTGAAGCCTTAATTAGTAGCATTAATTACTATCATTATAATTAATTAGTCCAGCCTTTTGGACCATCTGGTAAATGTGTGTATTTTCAATCAATATTGGTTTTTCTTTTGCTTCCTTGTACGTGTCCTGTTATTGAGAACGTGTGAGAATACTGACCCCTGCTGGCTGTTTCATAGTTTCACTAGCATGACGAAGCATATATTTTGCAGCTGAACAAGCGTTTTTCCCTTTTTTCTTTTTTTACACATAAAGAGCTGAATCTATATTCTATAGTGAATGTAACATTAAAACACGGAGCCCTGTAATCACACTGGATTATACATCTGCTTAGCATCATGTAACTGTTAGAACACACACAAAGAAATCTAAACCTGCTGTAAAAGCATTCAATAACGGACCTCAACATACTGAGTTGGGATGATTTATAATGTGGCCACGAGATGGCAGCATTGGCTTTCTCTGAATTTCCTTTTGATCAAAAGGTGAATTACATCAGTTTTCCAAAATTTCAGCATTAAGGGTTAGGAAGTACACATTCAGTTATTTGGTGTGAAATGTGCCAGGCTAGAGAAACCTACCGAGTCAGAATTGTTTACAGCAGTGGTGATAAGAATCAGACATCCGAAGAGTTCAATGCCTCTAAAAGCTCCCTAGCAGAAAGCTATTACATGACCACACTGCCCAATGCTTGAGAAATCTGTTAGTGGAGAGGCACGTGCAGGATGTGCAAAGTCAGTCCAAAAAAAGATTTACCCATACTGTCAACGTTTCATGTTAAAAACTGAAGATGTGAAGGTTCACTGGCGTTTTTTCTTAACTAAATAAAATGGCTATACTTTGTGTTCTACACAACACCCCCGGTTCCTATGACCACCATTGTAAAGAAATCCAAGTTAGTACGTTTGATGTTTTCACATTGTAAGTTAGTGTCTGTAATGTTAAAGTGTGTTAGTGAGTTTGTCTACAGGGGATGTTTTCACATCAAACCACTGTGATAGATGTTTTCAGAAATCTGTGGAGTTCCCCTTTAACATAGGCAGCGCTCTATGGTAACTGCTTTATGTTGAATAAGTAACACATTTCTGTCTCTTATGGCTATCTCTATTTCGCTTTTAATACCACCCTAGTATTGACCACCATTTCTACGGTCATCTTACTGGCAGGCCTAATAAAACCTGAGGGCAGTTTGTTTTAAATTGTATGTTTCATGTTGTTGCCAGTGCAAATCCAGTAGAGCTAGCTTTTAAAGACTGCATTATGAATTTGGATCATATTAATGAAACATAAAATATGTTACAATCTTACCATTTTCATGTATTTGCATAATGTATTGTTTTTTACATTTAAGAACTAATTATTCTAGGTATTGTTACATATTCTACTGTATAAATGAATCTTCTGTGTTGGTGACTTGGTTGCCCAGCTACCACAAGATGGCAGTGTGAGTGTGACGCAGCTTCCCACTGGATGAGGCTCAGTGTTTAACGTCGTGGGGTGATGATCCAATAAGACTTACCTTTGGAAGACCACAAGGGTCTTAAATGTAAAATATCGACGGGCTATGGCTCAGCATTATTTCTACAAAAGCACACGTGTGACACAAAAGCAGAATCAACCCATGCTTTTATTTTATCTGTTGCATATAAAATGTTTTTTTTCTTTCTGTCTTGAAATTTTATAGCGTTTAGACTGATTGGAGCAGGACCTACAGTACCGTCAAAAGACTGTAAGAGACAAAGTATTCAGTGAAAGAACTGTAAAAAGTTTGTCATTGAAAGATGTAACCTAATGAATCAAATCTTGAAGTATCTGTTTACGTATCCCTTTAATGACACTGAAAAAATACAAGTAGTATTAATAATAATAATAATAATAATAATAATAATAGCCACCATTGGCTTTGGTCCAGGGCTGCTAAAATCTACAGTATGCGTGTCAGAAAATAGGCTCTCTTAACATACAAACTCTAAGTATATATATTTTTTGTTTAGTGCACAAGCACATCTACAAGGCTGGATGAGACAAAGGTAGCAGATGGTACCTGAACAAATTCTGGAACAGCATGAACATAAGAAGTTAGTTGATATATTCAGCCAGCAAGCACCTATAGGCCAACTGTTCTCCTGTGTGGACTTGACGTGTAGGACTATTGCATTCAGCTGCACTGCGTGTGGCAGTCGAACCCATGCAGCCGACAGTTTGCTCTCATTCAGAAACTGCAGCAGCAGCATACTCAAATATGTTCTAAGCTTTAGCTTCACAATGTAGCACTTATTATGTCCTGATAATCAGGCAGCAAAATGGGTCGAACTTTCCCAGTGTACACAACTACTGTCTAATACAGAAAGAGGGAGAAGGGACATGGACAGACGGACGGACAAACAAATAAAAAGACACTGATTTAAGTTAAGGCACAGCCCTGGGGCCAAACACCAGTGGTGTCTTTTCATATTGTTTGGCTTTCCCCTGGTTCTCCATAAACAAGCTCAAAGGTGACTGTTTTTCCATTTTTTTCTTTTTTCTTTTTTTTTACAGAATATCCTTTTTTTACATTGTATAATATCCATAATAAACATTCTCTCAACAAGAGTTTACCAAATACAGCAACACCATCGCCATTAGGGATGATAGAGTAAGAACTGGTTATCATTTACATCAAACATTACAATATATACATCATAATAAATACATGTCTGTAAACAGAGACAAACAAAATCCAGAATAGCAGAACAGGTAAGGTCATTTGGTGAGGAAAAAAGAAGAAGAAAAAAAAAACATGGCACAAACTTAAATAATAATAATAATAATAATAATAATAATAATAATAAAAAGGTCTAACAAAATCATCACTACTTTAAAAGCCAGATTCAAGTTTCTGTGAAGCAGTTTTTCCTACGCTTTTAAAAATGTTTGATCTATGTACATATTTATCTTAAAAAAAAACAGTAACTTGCAAGTAACATGCCGCCTATGCTACAGTTTGTGTTCTACAGTAACGCTTAATATATACAGCAACATAAAACGTATAAACCAATAAATAAAACCATATACATGTATAAATAATCCAAAATGAAAAGCCACTTGGCTAAGTGCTGCGAGTCCTATAGTGCAAGTCCAGTGAGGGAGTGCGGTTTTGGCATGAAAAGCGAGATCGGTAGCTGGATGTTTGTCTATGTCTAGCCCTAAGAAAGCCGTCTACCAGACCGAGCGAACTGTCTCTCAACGTACCGCAAACGCTGCATTGAAATCATATTCGTTTAAGCAGTTTACATAACTGTATCTATAAAGACGTTGCACAACATGCTCCATTGTGGAATATCTGGGGCACGCAACTTATGATCTGAGATATTATTCAATTCAATTCAATCTAGACAGTATATGTGAACAAAACAGTGGAGAGTATTACTGAAGTACGTATGTTCAAATGTACGCAGCTTTTATAAGAGATCCACTGAAGGGAAAAGAAGAAAAGGCATGCAAGAAGCACTGCTCACTTTGAAGGCTCGTAGCATCCGAATTCTGAAATGTAAAGTAACCTGAAACATGCAAAACTACTTCAAAGTGTATTGTAAAGACGACTGTGTGTCAGATAAACAGAGAACAGGATCCTGTCATTTTGACCACAGGGTAGAAAGTCTTAGTGTGAGTGAGTGGAAACAGTGTTTGATGTGAAAATGGACTGATCTGAGAAAGGCCTTGCCTGGTAGCATGTAAGAAAAGTTTCATATGATGAGGATACATTACAGGAATACCGTGTTTTACAACCTGACGTGTATCTGCAGCTTCTGTAGCTCACAGTTACCACAGACAATCATGTCAACATGTTTCCCTGTGGTTGTTAAAAATACTTGTTGACTTCTAATAAAAACACACTTATAATAGAAGCCAATGGGCAGATGCTGAAGCACTTGCACACTGGGTTCTTATATTAGTCAACAGGTTTTCTGATCTGTTTTAAATAAAGTTCATGGGAAATAAAGTCCATGGGAATCAACTACATGCCACAGGTGCTGCAGACAGAGATTAGGTTCTAAAAAAAACAGAGGTTAAAATGAGGTTTGCCAACTTCTTCAAATAATCGACAAGCAATCAAAGCAACGAGGCCATGCATAAATAATGCTACTTAAGCGACTGCCATTCACTGAACATACAGAAATGGTAGTGTCGTTGTGAGGCATTCTGTAGGTGAAACTGTATTCGTACTGTATTAAGAGGCTCACTGGAGGTAAGTGTTTCAAAAAAACAGTATCTCAACAGAAAGACAATAACATCAACAAAACTGAAGAGTACTTGTGCGATTAACAAAATGGACACAGCAGTGTTGAACGACATTGTGAACTAGCCAGAGTCGGGCGTAACGCACGCAAATGCAAAAAAACAAAAAATTAATTGAATGACCATCATGAAAGCATACTTGCAAGTTACTCTTCGCAAGAAGATGTCTTGAAAAGATTTCTTTGCTGTTGGTGTTTCTGTAAGAAAAGTAACATCTATGTAAAAATCTCCATTTTATATGCCATACAAAAAGAATTAGAGGCCATGACAGCACTAAGCTGCGTGTTTTTTTTCAGTCAGGTTTTCAGGAAGACTTAAAATGTAGAAAAAAGGGTCTCTTTGAAAGCCAAAGAATGCATTCCAATGAATTTCCCATTACCCCCTGATGGCCATGGCTGATGCAGTCTTGTTAAGCTCATTTGCTTCGTACCATCTGGCCTGAACTTTTCCGGAACTCTCTTGCTGTCGATGCAGAGGAGGAGGTAATGGGGACGAAAGCACAGTGGTTTTAGCTCCAGCAGTGTTCAACCATGCGCAGGGGGCTCACAGAGCTAAGGGGGCCAAGGACCTTGGGGGGAAAAAAGGAGTGAAGAAAGGGAGAAAAAGGACTAAATGTTATTCCTGAGTGCAAAATAAGGACCATCTATCAGAGTCTCTGTGTCTACCCATCTCCGCAAAAGGAGAGGGGAGCGGCCAAGGTTTGAGGAGTGCAAGGTGCGCTTTGGAACTAAATCTTCGCTGTCCGTTATTAATATTCGCCAAGACGAATAGCATCACTGCTACGTTCCGGCAGGCTGCTCTTCTTCCTCCTCCTCCTCCTCCTCCTCCTCCTCTTCTTCCTCCTCAGCCATGCTGGGTTCGGTTGAGGCTTCCTCTCCGGCGCGCTCCTCCTCCTCACCCTCCTCTCCCTCCGGCTGCTCGTCCAGCGGGATCTCTGTGGACTCAGAGTCCTGCGTGCAGAGGGTTTTAGAGTCACTGCAGCTGTTGTCCTCTTCCTCCTCCTCCTCTTCCTCCTCGGCCTGGCTGCCGCTGTCTTTCTCAGTGTCTGACTCTCCGTCCTCCTCCAGTGTGAGCTCGAACTGGAATTTCTCGGCTCCGCCGCCAGGTCGCCCGCCCTCCTCAGCCTGCTCCGGGGCAGGGGACGGGCTCTGCGGGATGGTGCTCTGGTACCACTCCCTGTTGTCCTCCAGGGTGTCCAGGATGTCCTGGGCGTCCGGGTGGACCAGGTCAGCCCACGTCTCCCACAGAGGGTGTACGATGTAGTCTATGAACCCCACCTACAGCACAGAGGAGACAGAGCTCAGAGAAATTCTGACACTACAAGTATACATACAAAAAAATTGTCATTTCTTTGTTCACATTACAAGCCTCACTGCACAATTTTTTGCTGTAATTCAGTCTTTATAACTTGATGGTTCACATTTGCATAGGTCAGTGACTCAGGTCAGGTCAGAAACCTGTCATTAATGTGAACCTTTTCCTTTTCCTTTTCGAATTAATAACATCACGTGAATACACCATGTGCATCAACTAACCAGCAGAATGAACCTTCTTTGCGAATTTGCTCTAAACAGCTCTTTATTAGAGCGGGACGAAGGTGAAAAGGGTCAGATGCATGCTTTGCTACCAGCACCAGCGCTGCTGCCACATTAACACTGAATGACACCACATGAGCAGTAAAAAAAACACCACATGAATTCCAATCTGACCGTTCTCTCAGGTCGCATGGCCACTAATCAGATATGTATCCATTCTAGGACCACATACGAAAGTGGCTTAGATCTGATTTTTTGCATGTCCACATAACTCTGAAAACATCAGTGTCACATTAAGGCAAAAAATTGGATTTCAACTTCAGCCTGCTAATGTGAACATAGCCTAAATTACATTCACATTGCATTCTTCACAATTCTGCTAGTACAAAGAGCATCATTTAATTTTTTTTATTTAAGCCAAACTCAGGAATGACTAAACAACCATCTAACATCAGGGTGCTCTGATATTAGTTCTATTGTATTATTCAGTCCCCCAAATTCTGGAGCACCAGTTGCAGTAATTTCTTATTTTCGAAATGAATAATTAAGCAAGAAAAGGTGTTTTTGGGATTTCTGTAAAGCTGCTTTGTCACAATATCTGTAAAACGGGGTACAAATAAAACTGTCTTGACTTCATTCTGTCTATTTACAAAGCAGGATTTTTTTTTTAGAACCTCAGACAAAGGAGAGGATTATCAATCAGGGATGTCCACTATCTCTCCTACTGGACTTAAGTCATCAGGCTAATTTCATATCCTGAATACCCCCCAGGCAGACGAATGTGAGGTGAGTTTGTATACCTGGGACTTCTCCACCGAGGCATTGTGCTTGTCACACATGGGGCTGATCTCCATGCCCCGCTCCCTCTCTCTGTCACCTTGGCTAAAGAACTCCTCCATGATGCGGTCTGTCCACTGCCGATAGAGCTGCAGGGGCTTGGTTGGGTTACTGAGGTCCGCACAGTGGACCATGTTCTGTAGCACCTGAGTTATACAAAACACACATTCGCTATACTCACAATTCACAATGTGCATCAAACACCAGCAAGACAAAAATAGATATGAGTATCTGTGAGTATTTTTCCTGACTCGTGACTGAACCATAGGAACCTTGTTCATGTGTCACTGAACTGTGTGGAGAACACCAACATATACAGTAGCCGTCATATCTGATCTTTATGCATAAATGCTTGGAATCTATATTTCTATAAATAGTAAAATCGATGCCCATATGGATTAATTTGGAAAACAAAAAATGAAAATGTAATTCTGAGCGATCAGCTGAGATGTGAGTTACATTTAGTCCAAACAGCTTCTTTGGTAGACAGCTAATATTTCTGATTGTAGTAATTCCATGTTATTTGGTAGTTTTGACTATGCTGAAGAGTTCAAAACTGTTCATGTGAGCAGTGCTTACTTGTATCCTGTCTGAATAGTTATCCAAGAGCAGGACTCCAGAACTGGTCACTTTCTTTGTCTCAACCATCGTTTTCAGGTCAGCCAGTAGGTTCATGTGTTTAGACATATCAGTGGCCAATACCTAACACAGAAAACACACAAACAACAGTTAGCCTCCCAGGCTAGTAGCTACTGTACAGCACAACCGTGATGTGCTGTTCTTTGAGCTGGCTCTTTCAGGTTAACCTTGGGACTCGTGTTGAGTATTTTCTTTTTTTTCCAAGTCAAATTATTAGATCTTTTGACCTACTTTCGTGAGTATATCCAGTGAAACATTTCCATATCTGACATGAAGAATAGTGAGATGTCAGCTAGACTATCACCTGTGTGTAGTCTAACCAGCATCAACCAATTAGCTGCTTATTATATGATATTATTGTGTAGTGCAAATTTTTACACTTTTATTTTTGTACATAATTTCTACAACAGCACTCATGAGGAATGAATGTTCTTTACTTTCATTAAAAGTAAATTATACAAACACCAGATTTCCTTTTCCTGGATGTCTCTGCCTATTAGTCATAATAAACATATGGCAATAAATTGTTATTTTGTAAATCAGGAAGTAGAGGAAGATGTTACACAACGACAGGTCATAATACCGCTACCTTTAGATTTCTGAGTTTGAAAAAAGTGGCAACAGAAAGAGTCAGCTCTCATTGGTGAGCTAAGCCAACTGATATGACTCACTGAAAAGAGCCACAATGCCCCTCAATCTTGTGTACAGGGAGAGAAAACTGGGTAAAATAAAATAAAACAAAATAAACCCTTAGGTCTAAACTATTTTTAGAGCAGAATTTGAGGCCTTGTTCATCTGCATTTGGTCGGCTCCACTTACGATGTCGATAACCATCTTCCGTAGGGATTGTCTCTGTTTTTTGGTCAGGTTCTGGAAGATGTCACAGTTCTCTTCCTGGAGCAGCTTGAAGCCCACTGCCAGGTGATGGTTCTCCAGCACCGATGAGTCATTGTACATGAGAGCCAACTCTGAGTCTGCGCACACACAAACACATACACCATCAAGGCCTTACGCTAGTCCAGTGGCACATACATCACTGTATATGAGCAGACGTTAGTAGACTGGACTCTCTTGCGCGATCCCCCCTGCTGTTTGGTGCATGGTAAACAGCTGCGTCAGAGCTTCGTCACTGTTGGGGAGAGATTAGAGGATGTGGTGCAGGGGGGGGTTGGGGAATCTGCTCCATGCACCACCTCTGCCTCTCACACTCAGACATGCAGTCTCCCACTCATTTATCTGTCATATACTCAGGCACCGTTGCTTATGTCATACTGCTGTTATGTAAGCTGGGGTAAATCCTCGGCGGGAGGTCACTCGGCTTTGGGAGCAGATGTGGTCATGTTTGTGTCTGGACGCACCTACAGTGTTACAGAGTCTTACACACAATAGAGAGTCCTTTGTTTCTCTTACGAGAGCTGTGTCTCTGTATGATGGCACATAAGAAGCCCTGGGGCAGTGGTTGTAAACCCTAGCTCTGAAGTTGCCTTGCCCCGAATCAACAACAGTCCAGCACAGCACTCAGTAATACATGTGATTATGTATTACAGTATGTATGCAATATTTACTATGCTGTTAATAGATTTACAGGTTCTGACTTGTGGGTTACTTTTGGGTTACTTTTGGGTTACTCATGATTTTGGCTTTTGTCAAAAATGAAAATAAAATTTTAGCCAGAGCAGTATGCAAGATAAAGTAATATGTATGACATTCCTTTGAAAGCTTCATGTTGTATGTATATTATAATGGAAACATTTCTCTAAACCTTAGTCCTGGAGTATCCCTGTCCTACATATTTGGCTTTGGGCTTTTTTGGGTTACGGAATACAATACTGTGCAAAAGTCAGAGACCACCCTTAATTTATTTAATGTCCATCCAAAACAGCCATTTAAGTCCAATTTGTTTATTTTTTCAGTTTAGGAAAAAAAGCAGAAAATAACTAAAGATATAAAATGTCTATTATCTATACATATATTAAGAAAATCTCCAACACTAGATATAATACAAAATTTTTCAGTATTTACTGTGTCCCCCAATGCTGTTATTACAGCTTCCATTCTTTTTCAGAGACTTGCTTTTTTCACAGAAATCTGCAGCGACACTTCCAAAGTTCTATCTTAGACATTTGGTTTCATTTTCTGATTCTGAAGTTATTTCAAACACATTTATTAATATTGAGGTCTGGGCTCTGCAGTGGCCAGTGCATTGTTCTGGCTTCTTAGTTTGATTTGCAAATCTTTTCAGGCTCAGCATTGACCTGTCGTGTCTCAGTGGAAGGATGGACAGAAACACATGTGGATTCTTTCACATGTGGAGCTTTATCTTCTTCTCTTTCTCAAAGATGAAAGCTTTAAATACCGTTTATCTGAGGGGCTGTTTTGGTGGTCTACCAGGTTTGCATATGGGGAGGAGCCCCATTGTCTCTGTATATTTTCATCACTTTTTAAACTCCAGTTTTGGAAACTCCTGTTTTTTCACTTATTTTCCTTTTAAGTTAATGGATTATGTTACATCTAATCTCCTCAGAAATATCTCCTGAAAAAATTAATAACCTGTACAGAATAGCCATTTTGACACAAAATCAAATAAATAAAGTGCCTCTTACACAGTACCGTCATACTGGAAAGTGGAGTCTTTCAAGTTAGCATCTGCTTTAATTCATAAATTTTGGAATTTCTGAGGTGTCCAATAATGTCTGTGGGTGATCAGTGAAGCAACACAGCTATCCCAGTTGTAAACACCTACTGTGATGAACCGGAAGCCGGATGGAGTGGGCCTTTACCAGAGACCTTTTTGTACCGTTCCAGTCTCTCTGTGTGTCTTACACTTGTTCTAAAAGTGAAGTACAGCTTGCTAGGTGAGGAGTGGGAACATGTGAGGTGTGATAAAGCTGAGCCGTGAAAACATATACGCCCACTGGGAAACACATAGCTTCTTCTCAATAAAACAAAGGAGGGCGTGGGAAGGAACCTATTTGCATCCCTGACATGAAGAAAAATACTCACTGGTGTTAATGAGGAACTGGTTGGAGACCCCCGGGTGATCGACGTCGTGAATTGCACTAGCAAAAATGGCAGCGAGAATTTCGAGGTCTGTGAAAACGGCCTGTGAATAGATGACACGTGCAGACCGAAAAAATTAGAAACACGGCTGTGCCCACATCTCCCTATATAAACCACTAATGCTAAAAACAGCAGACGGAGGAATAAAAGCTACAGTGTGAAATGAGTTCCTGACAATATGAGCAATAATCTCCCACATAATCACTCTGATCCAGAATACATACAGATACATGAAGAACACAGATCTAGACAACTTCCTCTGTAAAGGTATGAAAATGGCCTCACCTCTAAAGCAGGCGTGGAGAGCAGCACGTGTGTGGACTGGGTGACATCAGCAGCATGAATGTTGTTGTGATACGCCACATCTCCATGGTAATGGTCTTCTAAGGTCATCAGGTAGGTTATAAAAGTGTCTAATGGAATTTTAAACGTCTTGAGCAAGTCTCTTTCCTGGAAGAAGAAAGACAGTAGCAATCATCTTAAGTTTTACAGGGAAGGACAGCTTATAAAGGCACGGATCGTCTTCAAATGAAGAACTGTGGGTGACTTTCAGGCCAAATCTCACCTGAAATATTGTGTACATCATCACCGTTAAAGGCCTGTTCCCCGAAAATTCTGTGACTTTGAAAACGTTAAGGCCCCATTTGTTTATGTCTTCCAGTTCCTGTGATGAAACATAAAGTTACGTGTAAAAAACAAACATAAAACTTAAAATAAAAGTCAAACAAAAAGTGTTTTTACTGTTTGTCTTTTAGAGTATTGTACATTGTTCCATCTACTGGATCAATATGTTTTGTGACAGAACAATGACCTTCATACAAGGTGTGCCACAGCCTATAATCAGATTCAATCAGAATTCAATTAAAGCAGTTGAAGCCCCAGTCTGTAGCTCAAAGAGTACAAGCGGTTGAAGAAGCACTCCAAAACTAATGAATCGTCTTCTTTTCCCCGGCTCACCTTGGCTAAGGACTCCTCTGTATCCGTCTTGACCCCGAAGCGAGGGATGTTAGAATTGGTGAGGCTGGTACTGTGCATTAACTTCTTCACGCCACTTATTTGAGACATGGGCTTTTTCTTCTTCTCCTTCTCTTTCTGGGTGTGAGGGGAGGGCATCTCCACGTCATGCTGCTTGTCTGTGGAGCAGGAGCAAAGAGGGCAGCGCAATCAGTGCACCAATGAAGTACTCTCCAACATAATCGCTCACTAGATTCATGCGGTAGATGAACCAGTCGGCCTCTTGGGTGAGGACTATTTTTTAACACATGGATGTCCCTTGTACTACAGTGTACTACTTTGTACTTGATGAGCTTTGATGGGTGTGATTACCTAAGAAGGTGTTGGAGATGAACTCGGAGACTTGGTTCCCGGAGCGGCTCATCTCAGACAGGTGGGTCAGCTCCCGGTTCAGCATCCTCTTGAACTAGAGTGTAAACATGGAGGTGGGGGGGGTGGGGGTGCAGGGGGGCAGCATCAGGTTTGCAGACACTGACAAGCAGCATAAATGAGTGACACCAGAAGCACAAAATGAAATTGTACAGGGCCTGCCACACCCTTAAGACGCTTTGATATATCCCCTTTAATCAAAAAAACACCACCACTAATTACTAATTACTAGAAAATCTTACTAAATTATGAATTACTGTAATTAACTATATTGAATTATTATTATTATCAACAACAACAGCAGCAATAACAACAACAACAACAACAATAATAATAATAATAATAATAATAATACTTGTATTCCTATAGTTTTTAAAGGTCAAAATATGTTTATATTCAATTTTCAGTCAAAACAGCTATTGAGTACAAGCTATACATTTTTCAGGAGATATTTCTGAGAAGACTACATGAAAGATTTCTTACTTGCATAAGAAAGAAAAAAGTTGAAGGAAAATAAGTGAAAACACAAGCGTTTCTAAAACTGAAGTCCAAACTATTATTAAAAGTTATAGACAAACTGGGGCCTAACATCTGAGCAAGACCTGGTGGATCACCAAAAGTATCAACAGCTGTTAAACAGTACTTAAAGCTTTGATCTTTGAGAGAGAGGAGAAAATCAAGCTCCACTCTTACTTCACATCTGAAAAAACTGGGATTTCCACTGTGTGAGGACATCTCAACGATATAGATCTAAAAAGATGTGTAACTGTAAAAAAGCCATTACTGAGAAAAGTAAAAGACCAAAATATATGCAATATACCAAAAAAACAAGAACAGCAGCGGGACATCTCAGACGTGGAATGAGGTTTTATACACTTATTAGTGTAAATTTGTAATTGGGATTATTGGATTGTGAGAAGCAAAAAATGCAACCAACGTCTAAGGCTGAACTTTCAGAGGTGTGGAAAAAAATCCCTGTAGTTTTCTTTGAAAAACCAAAACCTCCAGACAAGAATGGAAGGTGTAATAAAGGCAAAGGTGGACACCCCAAATACTGAAAAATCTGATTTTATATTTAGTTGTTGAGGCTTCTGTGCCATTTTCTGTTAAACTAATACACAATTATATGCAAAAATTTGAAACCTTCCCCCATCAAATTGCATGTTTTGTTGATTTCTGAAACAATGCCTCCTCTGCAGAGAACACACTTTAATTTTTGGTGCACAATTTGTATTTATCACTGCAATTTGTACATATCGTTGCTGTCGGGAACTGTATCCTTTATCTCCATTTTTGATGTTTTTCATTTTTTGAAAAAGGCAGTTGCCCTTTATGTTGTTTCAAAAATTCATGACGAACGAACCAATATAGATGGTCCAAAATGACCTGGAAAAAATACTTCTCCATTTACTTTCATTAAATGTTGAGAATATTTTTCCTTCTCCTGTAAAGTTACCTTTTTAAAGATACAAGGTTTTGTTGTGACAGCAGCAGTAAAATATATATATATATATATATATATATATATATATATATAGCTGAGCAAAGGTTGCAGTGAATATGTGTGTGTGTGTGTGTGTGTGTGTGTGTGTGTGTATATATATATATATATATATATATATATATATATATATATATACACACACACACACATATATATATACACACACACACACACACATTTTACTTAAAATATATGCAATTTATAACATTAGCAGACATAATAAACAGAACTGACAATTTAACAATTCCACAATAAATAATGAACAAAACATAGTTTATTCTTAATTGCTATCTGTCTACATGTCTGTATGCCTTTCTAAAACCACCAACATATATAGAGAAAGAACTGCCATGCTATGTAGCCTAGTCATTAGAGGGTCAGCTGTGGTCAGAGAGATATTAGAGCACAGAAAATCAATGCTTTTGATATTAGCAGTGCCAAAATGTTCTGTCACCTGACAGCACACAAATTTTTCAGGCCAACAAAGAAAGAAGCCCATTATGACTGAAGCCCTAGAAATCAAGCAGCTGAAGATCAGAATCTCTTTATGTAGGGATTCACGCAATAATCATCTCCAACGTCCGTGATAAAGGTCAGACGGCTTTCACACAGCAAGAATTTCACACATTTCTCTGTCCTGTTTGGCCAGCACTTCCAATTATTCATTTCCTCTCATTTTCATACCTTTGCATATCAAATACCGCAAAGCATCCTCTGACAAACCCCTGAAGCCAACAAACACACTGTGATAGAATAGTCCATTGTTTAAACAGCATCAACTGGGTCAACATCTCAGAGGCTGGTTTCTCCTCTCAGAAGCAAAATATAGCTCTTAGACATCCTACATCTGAAGTCGTGACCGCAGCCCTGTAGAAGACAGAAGATAATACAGATCCTGAGCAGAACCAGGACGCCATACCTTTATATATCCCCAAGAGACGGAACGTAAATAATTAGCTTCAGGCATTTTCGCAGAAGCAACCAGCTCAGACACATACGAAGAAAAAAAATAACAATCAAAACTGGTCTATCCGTCAGACGGTGTGATCACAAATCTGCATTTGCTCATTTTCTCAGCCCAAAAAGGATGGGCACGAAGCAATGTCAGCTGACTGGAGATCAGACGGAGGCTTCAGAGAGATGCTGTCTGGGTCTGTGGGATGCATGTTCTCTGCCTGTTCGCTGAGAAAAATGGCAGTAAGGGAGGATGGTGTGCTTCTGGAAAAGGAGCAGTCCTGTCAACACATTCCAAATAAGGGCCGGCGCTCGTAATCCATGCAGCCCAAGCCCACCAGGCGGCCAATCAGCGCTGATTACAGCCGGACGAGAGAGGGATGGGGTGGTCGAGGCATGCCTACCGTCTGCTGATGAGGGTGGGGGTAGGGGGTGTGAAGGCCTTGGGGACTGCTGTTCTCGTTCTGTTCCAGCCCACCTTCTAGCTCTTACATACATATACCAGTGCCATTACTCAGATTAGGTAAAAGTCCAGCCAATATCAAAATGTTGTTACCAGAAATGATATTAAGGAGGTAAACATTCCGATAACCAATCATATCAGCCGATATACTTTAATATGGTCGAACATTAAACAGACCATCAAACATCAAACTCCAACAGTTTCAGTTAAACAGTGATTTACTGACTGATTATTATGAGTTGTCATGTTGGATGTTGCTTGTGTTAAAGAGTAACAGCATTTGAAGGTTTTATCTTTGAGAGAAAATCAAGCTCCAAGCCTCAGATTTGAAAAAAATCCACAGGTGTTTCTGTCCTCATCGCTATGGTTCTGAAAGGATGCATAGCTGTCAAGAAACCCTTACTAAGAAAAGGAAACAGACAAAACAGCAAATATGAACTACAACACTGGAACTGGACACTGGAGATGTGGAGTAAGGTTTTATGGACTCATGGGTCTAAGGGGAATTGCCTGGATCATGAGAAGCAGAAAATGCAACGAGGTGTGGAAAAATATAATTTAAGATTTAAGATTAATTTAAGTAGTCTCCTGAGAAAAAAGGAAGGGCTGCAATAAAGGCAAAGGGTGGACACTTAATAATTAAAAGCATCACAATCTGCACTTTCCTGGTAAGATTTTTGCTGATGTTGATTAACCCTTCAAACATAGCACTGGACAATTTTATGAGCTCAATTATAAACTGATTGAGACCTAACATAGCAGGCCACCAGTGAAAAGTACATTCAAGGTTATTTATCTAGGCAGTGAGCCTTAAATTGCCTGAAAAATATTAGAATACATACATGTAAACATTAATAAATTGTGACGATGTCTTTCAGTGTGGTAGCTTACTCATTTCCAAGTCTCTCCTCTCCATCCAATCAATAATCAGCTAATCAATACTTAATTTTCAAGTTAAATCAGGTGTGCTTGTGGTGAAATTTGGAGCTACATCGAATAGAGGAGGGACCAAACCTGTGTTCTTCTATCCTGCACGTAAAATATCAGTAACCTTAGAGAAATTCTTACTTTTCATGATATTAATGTTTATTCGTATATACTGTAATGTTATATAGTGTTTTCTGCCAGCACAAACTCTTACGGCACACATTAAAGATGGCCAAAAACTGCATTCATGTACCATTGATGTACTGACATACAGACTAGTCTCTCCCATATCCTTCACATTAAACTGAGATATCTATACACCTAACCAGAATAACCTGTACAATACAAAAATGATGTTTGCATCTGCTCTATTCTAACCTCACACTTCTGTTGATCTTGGAACTAATCTAAATTGCAGATGAAATTCCACTCTCAAATAGAAGCTGAATTAAGGGCGGGCGACTTTGATAACACTTCCTCTTATTCACCAACAGGGGCCAGCGTTATGAAAGCGGAGCATCAGACACAACACAGCAGCATTCATATGGAGATAACAACTCCCACCTGGAATTCATCGAACCTGGCCTTGGGCCTTTTATGTGGTCAACTCAGATGACCTTATTTGAAAAACAAATGAAACCGACGAATGAAACAGGGCCCCTTATTAAGCCTGTGCCCGACGGCCAGCTTTATTGTGCCACCTTTCACCTATTTGAATATGAGCCTGCTGCCTTGCATGGTATAGCGCGGCCGCTGCTTACCTGGGAAGAATAACAGGCCTCTTCTGTTACCTTCTGCGTCACTCTACGCCATTTATGCAAAGTGAAGAAGCATGATACGTTTGAAAGAAGAGATAGACAGCGAGACCATGGAAGTACATAAATATTGAACATCAATCATTGAGAGGTGTGAGTGAGAAGAGTCGAAAAACAACAGGGCCTGACATCGAATGACCATCAGCATCAGAGCTACGCTTCTGCGAATGAGGATGCAGTTGCTGGGCAGTTTTTCTCCAGGTGTAGTGGAGGACCACTTAAATACAAAACTAGTGTGAAACATCAGAAAGTCATTCCACGAAAAATCAAGAGGTCATCTAGCATTCTGTTGTATTGTAGCAAACTGCACGCTAGAAAAAAATATGGGGAAATGGCATTTAAAATACCTATTAAAAGAAAATGGTTGCAGATTG